TGTGCAGACTGCTCAGGGCACTTTAGAGTAAGCACAAAAAAATCTCTTTGGCTCTTTTCGTTTCTTCTCTCCTCTTTTTAAAGTAAGTCACATCTGAACACGTGGGGGGGGGGGGGGTCAGCAGCAGCAGACTTAACAAAAACATGAAAATGTTCCTCTTTTTTGTTTTTAAACAAAGATCCTTGGAAATGATTAAAACAACTCAAATAGCAGGCTCCAACTGTATTAATGCTGTCATCCTATCACACAGGAACTGAGCCCAGTGCCAAGCGTTGCTTTTTTCTGCCTTCTGTGTTTTGTGTTCTCCCTGAAAAACAATGATTTTCAGAACTGGAGCCGCCGCCAATAAAATTAATGGGAGACTTTTAGAGTCTATGCAGGAAGCGGGCTTTTAAATAAACACATTGTTTCCAAACTAATCCACACCCCTATTGTTTACAAATGGGGGAACTGGACTGGGTGTGGACTGGTTGCCCCCCGCCCCTTGTTAAGGCCACTCCATTCCTAAACTGAGCAGGAAACGGATCAAACTGTCAAACAGGAGTCTGCTTTGAAGTTATTGCAGGGGCAGCATCTGAATCTGTTTTTACATTTACTCTAAGTCCTTTTGAAAGTTTCTCAGAGTTAATCAAAGTAATTAAACTGAACAACTATATAGAGAAGCCTGGGGCCTCAGGGTGGCCCTTAGCAGCAGGTGGTGAATGTTAAAGCTGTTCACTCTTAGCTGGACTAACCAGGTGACTATTCTATTGCTCTAATGACAACAGAGATATAATCATGCTGGGCTTCAATAATGTGCTCTAACCTGTTTTCATTAGGATCTATCTAATCTAATCTACTAATCTTTACACTTTAAAGAGTTCCACACTGGAGTTTTCTCAAGCCTCTAATAAAGATCAGCTAGATTACCGTAGGTTGGAGACTAAGAAAGACCAAATACAGCCTTGTTTACTTGGTGATCGGTCAATTAAAACATCTTGGTAGAAATATATAAAAGTTCATCACAGGCATCAAATACGTTTTTCCATTATTGTTAAAAATATAAAGTTAAAATGTTTTCTTTCTCTCATCCAGAGAATTAGGTTAGGTTAGTTAGGGTTCGGTTAAAGGCATAATGAACTCACATTTTAAAATCCTGACTTTGAAATAGCTAAAAAAAAAAACACAGAATAAAAATATACATTAAAATTCTCATTTAGAACATAGAAATTCTTTCTTTAATCCTGACTTGCCTTTTTCACAAAGTTTAACCTGAAATCTTGTTGGTCATGGAGAACATTATTAAAAATGATCTGTTTCTATTCAATGTATGTTGGAAGCACAAAAATTGGTCACAACAGAGTGGAACAGCTTGTTTTTCACTGTTTTACTCATTTAAAGAATGATTAAAATAATATTTTATTTCAGGTTACACTCTTCTCTAAAAAAGTTTAAAATTCTGACATCTGATAAAAATGGAGGAAACAAAATCTAACCACTGAATTCTGTTCTTTTTTTAAGGATACCGCAGAAATTTAGAACCCATAATGAACACAATGAAAAAAATATATTATCTTTTTTTTAAAAAGTTTTAAAAATCCAACCAATTAATTATTTAAGTTACAGAAATCTTCCTGGTATATTGACCAAGCAGAAAGCAATCAGAGATTCTCTTTAATTTGTCATGAGAGCAAGCAAAAAGCATAAAATGAAACATGTAGCGCTATTATTCACCTGTAGTAAATATTAACTTTATAAAACAAAGTCTGTCTTCTATCAGCAAACATGGTCACTTATGTAATGAATATAGTTTGCGTGATCAAATTATCAGCCCTTAATTCAGTGTATGAACCACTCTTTCAGCCACTCTCACTCATCGCCTCCTGCATCGATTTCTCTTTCCAATCCTACCAGTCACTTACACATCCATTTACACAATGTCAGATGAGAAAAATTTGTCAGACAGATTGCAATTTATATCTCCACTCGGCGCGCTGGCCGGCTCTGATACTTCAGTTTGCTCCCTCACATTTACATTTCAATCTGTGATTATAGCCTCTCCTCCCCTCAGCCGGCTGAAAGTAAATACAGGACTCCCCCTATCTGCTCTAAACTGCTTTGGATGGGACCACAGGGATAGACATGAATATTCGCTGTAGTGCGTATTTAAGTGCCACAAACTATTAAGTGGAACCTTTTTATAGACTGCTGGGCTGTGTGCAACACTGCATCGCACTAAAACTGCCAACAGACTGGGCTGTTTAAAATATCAGATTCTAGCTTTGGAGAGTTTACTGAGCGCCGCATGTCGCTCTTCTTCCAGGCAGATGTTTTGTGTTCAGTGCTGATCCCCTTTCTTCAACCATAGTCAGATCTAATAGCCATCAAAGTATTCATACCCAGTGAATGTTGTCCCATTTATCCTTAAGTTACAAACCAAAACTTTAAAATGTTTTATTGGGGTTTTATATGATAGCCCTACTTGTAAAATGTCTGTGAAAAAGCACCCTTGGGAATTTCTTTTTTCCCCCCTTTTTTTACACTTTGCACAAAGGAATCTACCTATTCTTATTTATGTATTCTTATTCTCCTGACCTCACACAGTCTGACGGGATAATTTAAAGGGTTGGAGGGCACTTCCCCCTCCTTTAACTATTGGGACACACTAACCGTACACGTGAATGCGCAAATCCGAGTGCAAGTGAGAGAAATGGGACTGGGCTTAAGATCTAAAACAATGCAGGTCTCACTTGCCTCAGTTCAGCTCAGTGTTTTAGTCAATTCAACACCATATCCAGTAGAAGTAGTAGAAGATCCATAGCAGAAGCTGAACAAAAAGAGCAAAAAAGCAAACTAAATTTGACAAAAAAACCTCTTCGACGGTTCTAAAGAGTTCTGGTAAGATATCCTTTGGACTGATGAAATAAAATAGAAGTTCTGAAAGGTGTTCTGTTCCATGTGGCCTGATCTTGCAATTTTATCAACAGTAAAACCTGGTGGTAATGTGACGGTTTGGCCTGGGGCTGCCTGATGACCTGTCGAAAGGAGGAACCCATGCTGTCAGTTTGTGACCTTAAGTCCAGAGAACTCTGTTAACACAGCAGGAAAATGAACAGAAGCACAGAAGTAGTGTCACCTCTAAAAAACTAATGATGAAACAAAATAAACGTTTTTCACAGTCTTGTCAGCATCTGAACTTACATCAAACTGAGATGCTGTTGCATACTTTAACAAATATCTCAGCAGTTGTACTGGACCTGCAGTAAATTCAGGAAAATTTAGGCTTATAGATGCATTGGTGATGAACTACTGAGGTGTCAATCTGTTCATCAAAACATGCTTTTGTCAAAAAGGGTTAAATAAAACGGCTATTTTAAACATATTCAGTAAAAACTTACAAAATGTGTCTTTAACCTATAAGCTAGGAATTGAGTATGACAAAATTAATGAGAGAAGCAGCCAAGAGGGCCACAGTCACAGGATGTCACAGGAATCTTTCCTTCTCTACATTAAAGGTGACATATACGCCTCTGCTCTACCTTTTGCTGGTCTACCACATAAACCCCCCCCCCACAAACAGTGATATTTGTTGTTGAGTAATAGCATATCAAAAAGGTCATGACAAGGCCTCATATCTAAAAACCCTAGTTCTACCTTAACATGTTTACAGAAAATAGCTGAGCAGAAAATGAAACTCCAACACCCCACCCCTCACTTCCTGCCCATTTTTTTTTAACCAGCTGCAAATATTTAGCACTTTGTCTTAGAAAAAGGTCAAGCAAGTGGAAAATTAATGCATTATTACTCAAAGTTTGAAGTGAACTTTTGACATGCAAATCTTTTTATGTTTCTTTTTTTGGCCGTTGTATTTTTTCACCAAAAAAAAGTTCAGAAAACTAATAAAAGACTAAAAAAAAAAGTTTAGAGGAGCAAACGCCCACACAGGCAGCTGCTGGTCAGTGATTGTCGGTGCTCCCTGTAGCTGCAGCAAAGAAAGCAGGTTAGATCTCCAGCCTTCTGGAAGCCGCTCCAGGAAAAGTCTGCTGCTTTTGGACGAGTTCACTTCCACATGTCCCCCACCACTGGCCGCCTGCTGTCTGTTGACTTCCCCGTCGGTGGTAACCAAACACCCAACTTAATGGGAGGAAAGTCTGTCAGCTGATGAGTCATCACGAGGCTGACAATCATTACTTTTTAATGCCTTTCTGAGTGGAACATGGTTTGAGTCGGGCCCCGGCATCTGTAAGGTGAGCTCACGGCGCTCGGAGGGAAAGTGTTTGGATGTTTTCTTGTTTGCTTGCTTTGGAGCGGCTCTCTGGCCCATCTATCATGCCGTAAGGAGAAAAAAACCCAACAGACAGATCATAATAATCACTCTTTGCCACAAACTGCTCTCCCTGGCCTTCTGTTTTTCCAAGTCTGGTTGAACACATGTTGGCTCTGCACAATATTCAACAGACATTTATAGGAAATAAATTAGGAGATGAATGCAAACCATATGGCATTCAGGGGTTTATTTGTAAAGCCTCTGCATCAAAGCTTTTTCCAGATCACACCATATTAGCTATGTTTTTCCAGTCCAGCAAAATCAGGAAGGTAACCACAGACTTCCCCTGATGGGAAACACATGAGCGGCGGTCGGTAGAGACTGGGGGAGCCTCGTGGATGAACAGGGCTTCGCTGGAGAGCATCAGTAAAAACAATCAATCCCTTTATGTCTGGATGTCATATGTCACCTGGATTGATTTCAATAGGTCAGGCAAGCAATCAAACTGCCTTACTTCTTGGAGAACCTTTTTCTGGCCCTCCTCTGAAGACTTTCACACATCTTGCCTTTGGAGGCGACATTAATGCCTGAGTGGAGTGTGTGCTTAGATGCAGACCTGGATTCAGGCCAAGAGGAAAAGACCGTACCCAGAGTAGGCGATTCCACCTTAACATCACAATAAGCCTTTCTCGCTTTTCCTTCTAAGACCTCCAAAGCGTTTTCTATGAGCCAGTTAAGTTTACGGTTTTGCTGCATTTCTGGGTGACCGCGTCCTGCCTGTGTGAGACGGGCCCTACAGCCTTGGTCTGCCGACACGCAGGGTGGTTTTCGCCTCTCTGCCGTTGATCTTGGACTTGTGGAGAGCCTGCCAGCATCAGACGTGGAGAGTCTTCACATACTCTATACCAAGAGGTTGGTTTTCTTTATCCGTTGTTTTCTTTTTCTTTAGACCGACCCACAATTTCTGCATTATGTCAGGAGCAAGCTGAAGTTGTGGTCCCCTTTTCGACAATCTACACACAATGATGGCAGCAGTGGTGCACTGCTACTTGTGCCATGTCACAGTGAAGTCGGTCTGTGTGCGGTCAGCTCTTCTCCACACTATGCACACACACACTCAGACACAATAGCTACAGTATGTGCTGTGGGTGATCAGAGTCCTGCTGTGCGCCATCAGGCAGTTTACCTCGGGACTGACAGAAAACTACTTCCAGCGAAGGAAAAAGCACAGTGTTCCTGCTGAGGGAAAATGCATCAAAGCATCTGACTTAAGGCTATAATTAACTACTGTGGTGTTTGAAATGTTAGGATTGAATTCTGTGGAAAGTCCAATAGTGTATCTATTTGTTGCTGTAATATTAGCTGCAAATGAACCTCATCTTTTTGTTACCGTGGTCCTGTGTAGCCTGATAGACTTCACTTGCAAATATTGCTGGTACTCTTTACAGTGGGACCATATGGTTATAATACGTCAGTTTAATATGTTTACAAAAAAGAAACAGCATTCTGTAACCCTCATCCTTTTTCCCTTATTGCTTTCTTTTGGGTTATGAAGCATTCCTTTGGTGAGCCGATGTGAAAGCTGCAGATAAATCTAGTCAGGCCATTCTTGAATGATGTGAGAAATTCTAAACCACTTCAAATGTTCTGTCTTTTTTCTTTAGAAGATGTGGACAAATTTTATAGGATTCCTATTAAACGATGTGTGAAAAGACTTAAAACAATCAAGCTTTTATTATAAGAGCAAAATCTCAGACAGATAAATACCGGTAAATAACAAAAATCTTTCAATCTTTATCACTTGTACCATAAATGCTCATATGATGTTTAACCATTCCTCTCTTTAGGTCTCGAGAGTCCTGGTCCACTCTGTCCTCCTCTCTCCACTCCTCCCACAGATCTTGTACTAGAGTTAGTTTTTGAAATTAAAAAAGCCAGGGAAGAAAAATCATTTTAGTTCAATTTCTGTGGATCATCTGCAGATCTAGAGCCACATGGCTTTCCAGGCATATCACAGAAGTTCTTAAAATCCATCCATCCATCCATCCATCCATCCATCCATCCATCCATCCATCCATCCATCCATCCATCCATCCATCCATCCATCCATCCATTTATTTTCTGTCACGCTTATCCCTGCTGGGGTCACAAGGGATGCTGGTGCCTATCTCCAGGTGAGAGGTGGGGTACACCCTGGACAGGTCGCCAGTCCACTGCAGAGCAACTCAGAGACGAAAACAACAAACAATCATTCATACACACAATCACACCCAAGGAGAATTTAGAGAAGTCAATTAACCTAACAGTCATGTTTTTGGTATGTGGGAGGAACCTGGAGTACTCGGAGAGAACCCATGCATGCACAGGGAGAACATGCAAACTCCATGCAGAAAGACCCTGGACACACACATTGGCATGAATAATATAAAAAAACAAATTGTGAAAAGGAGTTTGGGAAGCAGTTTAGAAAAAACTTATCTGGTCCAGAACCCTTTAGTCAGACACAACTTAAATTTAACATTCACTATTCTTCTGTAAAGGAGGATTTATTAAGCATTCTGGTTGTCTCTATGTTTGATTCTAGTTCTGGGTGTACAGAATAGAGCACACCAACAGAGTTGGTTGATGTTTTTTAAGTGTGTCTTATACCGTAACACAATAAAGTCATTTAAGGTAGTATGAAGGAATAGTATAAGGTCATGATTATAAGCAAGGTACCGTATTTTCACGACTATAAGGCGCACACACCTTTTTTTTCCCTCAAAATGTGCGGTGCGCCCTATGGTGCGGTGCGCCCTATGTGTGTTGCAACTGCGACTTTTGAGACCACCTCATTGAGGAGATGATGAAAGAGTGGCTGGGGGAGGTGAATGTAAGGAGACCAGGTGGTTTTTTTTCCACTCATCACCACACCATCGCTGTTAATCTGACTCCATGCGTGCCCATCTCACAGCTGATGTGAAAAACATGGTGAAACAAATTAATGCTGTGCTCGCTGTGAACCGGACGCAGCAGGTGCAGCAGAAGCAGCGAATTTACATGCAAAGTCAACGGTTGACGAGCGTATAGACGCAGCAAAAGGTCCCGCAGCGTGTTTTGAGCAGCAGGCGCAGCGCGTCGGCAGCGCGTCAGGAGCGCGCCGCCAACGCGCTGCTGCTGCTCGAGATGGAAAAATTTTAGTTTTGCTGCTGGAAGCGCCGCATCAACGAATCAGAGAAGCTGATCTGGGAGCTGGCTGTGAGACGACACATCGCTCTGATGACATATGATATTAAAGCAAATGAAAGGGCTGGATGGATGAGGAGATGATGAAAGCGTGGCTGAGGGAGGTGTAGGCTATGTGAGGAGACCAGGTGGTTTTTTCCACGCATCACCATCGCTTTTAATATGTGACTCCATGCATGCCCATCTCACAGCTGATGTGAAAAACATGGTGAAAAAAAATAAACGCTGTGCTCACCTTTATCCTGGGAGGTCTGACAAAGGAACTTCCACCGCTCGACATCGGTGTGAACCGGCCGTTCAAAGTAAGGCTGCGAGCGGCGTGGGAGCGATGGATGACCGACGGAGACCACAGTTTCACGATAAGTGGAAGGCAGCGCCGGGCAAATTACGCCACCGTTTGCGGATGGATTGTAGATGCTTGGACTAACGTGTCTGCTGGCTCTGTTGTTCAAGCTTTCGCAAAAGCCGGCATTATTTCTGAGGAGCCGCCCGGCACGGAAAGTGACTCTGACAGCGAAGAAGGGGAAACTGGCATGTCTGATTTAGCGCAGCTGTTTAATTCAGAAACAGAGGATGATGACTTTGATGGGTTTGATTAATACTTTGTAATAAATACTTGAATAAAGCACAAACATACTCAGTTTTGCTCCCGCTCTATTTTTCTACCTGAAAACTTAATTCAACAGCAGCCTCTGGGCCGGGTCTCCTCCGGGTTCACCTCGGCGACTGGCAGGTGTTTTTCATCTAAACAATCTAAATCTTGCAGCTATATTTGCTGTGATCAGTGGGAATAAAGTAGTTTTAATATGTTTTTAAGTGAGAAAGTCCACCTGAAAACTTAATAATTGCAGTCAGTTCATCCAGATTATCTATTTCTGTCGGAGGCGCTCAGACCCCCACATACCAGCGGTGCGCCGACAGTAGAAATCCCTTCATCAGCAGCCTCTAGGCCGGGCAGCCTCCGGGTTCGCCGCGGTGGCTGGCAGGTGTTTTTCATCTAAATAATTTAAACTGCAGGCACCAGGATACCGGTAATAAAAGCGAACATATTCCGTCGGCAGGTTTCAGGATTTTAAGTTACCGGTAATTTAGGAGTGACCACAGCGCTCTGTCATCTGCGATGTGTCTGTCTCACGGCCAGCTCCCAGGTTTGATTAATACTTTGTAATAAATACATGAATAAAGCACAGTCATACTCAGTTTTGGGCCCGCTGTATTTTTAAATACGCAGTAGAGGTATTTAAAGGGAGTAGAGGACTTGTACCTGTATATAAAAAACGCGCCCTATAGTCCGGTGCGCCTTATGTGTGTGTTAAATACAGAAATGGCACACATAACTGAGACTGCGCCTTATAGTACAGTGCGCCTTATGGTCGTGAAAATACAGTATATAAAATTTAGGTTCTTCAAATTTAGGGTTTCACAGCAGAATACACTACTGGTACAAGCAGTATTTCACAAGTATTTCTCTGTTATTAGGTTGCTGGTAATGTGCTTTTTCCTTTCTTTCCCATAAACATAGAACATTCCTTTAAAGAAAAAAATGCCTTATCTCTTCTAAACCCTTGACGTTCTTCTTTGTCCTAATACCTATTTCTGGCAAAATAATTGTGATTAATTTAACTATAAAAGAAAACAAATATTTTGTAGTAGGTAAATATGATTGCAAGTCTTACAAATTGTTTTTTGTCATATATATATATATATATATATATATATATATATATATATATATATATATATATATATATATATATATATATATATATATATATATATACATATTCACTTTTCTGACCCTCTGCCTGACCATGGATCATCTCTGGCTGGAGTTATTATCTGGGACTTCTTAACCAGTGAAAGCAACATCAGCGCTACTGTCAACTGGCTCCAACACAATTTCATGGTTCTTCCCAAACTGAGGACTAAGAAGGTTAGTGCCCATCACAGTTGTGATTGATGCCATTCGTAAAACTAACCTTTTCACCAATCTTCTGTCTCCATTTCCAGAGGTTCCTGTTCTAGTCCCTGACACAGCCTGCAGCAGTTTCGTTTCAAAAAACTGTTAAGCTTTCACACTAGTTGTCTGTGTGATGGGGTGTTGGAAGTCTGAGTCAGAGTCTCATTTGACCAATTCTTACAATTCAAATCCTGGAGTTTATCAAAATTTATATTTTTATGCTTGAGATGATATGACAGAAAACATTCTTTTTCTGTGTTATGCATCCATGCTTTGATGAGCCCATGTCTAGTCCAACACTAATGAGCGGCCATTTCCAATTAGATTTACACAGCTTATTAAAGTTTGCTGCAAAAAAGAGCATTTATTGGGGACATTCTACATATCTGTGCTCACCTTTGGTCATGAGATAGAACAAGATCCAAAATATGAGTGACTAAAATTAAGTTGACTGAGTTGCTGGAATCTCCCTTGAAATCAGGCAGTAGCCGAATCGTCCTTGGGGCCATGAAGTAGAGCTGCTGTTTCTCTGCTTTAAAGATATTCAGTGCAGCAGCTGAGGTGATACTGGCATCTTATTAGATTGTTTTGAATGTTTTGGATAATTTTACTTGGAGGCAGAGAACAGGCTACAGCTTAATGATGTGTAATGTCGCGCTAAGTAGTGACTTTATAAGAGATTTATTATATTCTATACAGTCTGTGATCTAAATCCAAAAAATGCATC